TATGGATGTGAGCCAGAAGGTACCATTTGTCTTATATTCAGCAGTGCAGACCTTGGTCACTGCGAGTGCTTTTGCCCTCAGGTGTTTGGCACTGCTCTGCCACTTCAGAATGGTTGTCTTTCTACTGTGTAGCCAAACCTTTGCTTTGAGTTATTTTTTTTTCTCTTGTTTTTCTCAATAACTTTTCTTTCCTTACTCTTACTTTTCTTGACTGTTTTTTCCTTTTGTTCCTCTTCCTCTTAATCGTCTCATGTTTCCTCTCTCCTCTAACTGAGCTGACCAGTACAAACTTGATGCTGTGTTGGATCCTGGATGGAGATTAAGATGCAGGAACACATAGTAAAAGCACATCTCACATGTGGTGCTCGAGCCAACATCTATGTGTGAACGTTTGGTGTCTGTATTCTCATTTCCAGCTCTGCTAGAAGCCATTATTAACACTGAGAGGGAAAGCAGATGGCTTTCAAGGAGGTTCTAACTATTAAAAAAACACCCCAAAACAAACAAACAAAAAAACAACCCAGAAGAATTTTTAAACTTGGGAGTAGAATGGAGTCAATTAATGCTACTGGTGTTCCCTCCCAACTATTATAATTTCTTTCAAAAATAGTTGACAGAAACTTCCTGATTATTCCAAGCCCTTCTTCTTTGTATAAGGACAATAAAGTTCCCTTTTCTAGGGCAGAAAGTGTTTGCAGGGAAATGCTTAGTACTTGTATGGGTTTTGCACTTAAAAACCTCTAACAGGCTTATCCTCTTCCACTTCTTACTTTTACTAAAATGCCCCAAAAAGGACAGAATTACACAATAGCAAATGGCAGTACTTTTTTTACATGAGGTTCACTGCACTCTTGCATTCATGTTCACTGATCATAATGTGAGCACGTTACTCAGTGCTTTGCTTTTCTGAGCAGCCATGAACATTAAACTCCTGAGGATTTCATGGCCTTGAGGTTAGTAGCTTCTTGGGAGCAGAACAAAGCAGCGTATTAAACTGTATAGCAGATTTTCTTTGTCAGGCTTTATTTTTTGCCATGACAGAAAACTAGAAGAATGCTTTTTCCATGGGTGTTCCCTTTTGTTCTGGTTAAAACAGATTACTGGTGAGGGGAGAGCAAATTTCCATTCTTCTTCACATCTGCTGAATGTTCCTTCCCCACCCAGAAGACCATAGTTCAGCCACAAACATAGGAAGGAACAGGATGAAGTCTGGTGGAGCTTGAAATGTCTTTAGGTGACAAAAGCTGGCTGTAATTCTAGTTTGCTGTGGGGGTTTTGTTGTTGTTTTTGGTTTTGGTTTTTGTTTTGGTTTTGTTTGTTTCTTCGTTTTTTGTTCTTGTTTTGTTGGTTTGGATTGGTTTTTTTCTTAATAAAGACTGGTTCGATTTTTGGTGTTTGACTTTGGAAACCATCAGGCAAACAAAAAGCTGACTGTGTTTTATGTTTGTGTCTGATATGCTGGAAAGCTACATAATCTCATATATTTTCCATTTCAGAAAATACAAAAATTATGTAATTCCTATTAGTCTCTTCTTTAAAATTTTCACGTATATAAATGAGATTGATTTTCCTTTTTTTTTTTTTTTTTTTTTCTTTTCTCCTGGGAGAAAGCAATAGTTCTGCACCTGTGAAAAGTGAATACTTTAGGCAGAAACTTTCATTTTACTGTTGTTGTTTAACTTACATTTTGTGATTCTGTGCATGACTTTGAAGGCTTGAGGTGGAGGGGAAAAAGAGAAAGCCAAAGCAAGAGCAGGAGTAAAGGTCATGTATTTGACCTTTCCACGTTCTTATCCAGGTATGGCTGAATATATTGAATTTGCTGGTCAGCAAATTGTCACATACCTTGCAGAGTCTTTAAATATTAACTTAGGCAAGAAAGTGGGCAACTACTGTGAAACTTTGGGCAGATTTCTAATTACCTGAAACCTCAAAAATGCTGATGAATACTTTGAATTTTCTTTGTTTTTAGAGGATTTCCATAGTTGTCATATGAATTAAGTACTAGCTGGTAGGTCTATTGGCATAGGTATTGTATGGCTTGGTATTGTTGTTAGTTTTGGCATAAATATAAGCAAAGCCCACAGACTTGGGTGAATTCACATGCAAGCTGGACTATCAAAAGATCAATCAGTCGTAATAATGTTTAAAAGGCAGATACAGCATCTGGAGCTGCAAATACACATAGAATAGTGAAAACTTTAGTTTTACCAGAAAATTAATTTTTTTCAGAGGTAATGTATTTAGGAATTCTGATATATATTCTGCAGAAAAGCTGTTGGTGAAAGAATTGTACCATGGTTTAAGTAATATGGGTCACTGAAGAAGAGAAAAATTATGCACTGAAGGGAACAGTTTCAGTATTTTTAGAAAAAAACCTCAGTGATGCCCATTTCATTAAACTACTTTTTTTTCCCTTTGGAAATTTAGGCAGCCTGGTCTGACCAGTTGCTGCTAGGTGATTTCTTGGATATCTACCACTATATATTTACAACATATAGCTGTGTTATAATAAATTTACAAGAATACTGTATTTATGATTGTGGTTTAAACTTAACCACAAATCACAAAATAATTATCTGGATACTTTGTTTTGTCCAGAGGGTAATTAAAACATATCCTTTGTACACATATAGAAAAAGGAAATGTATGGAAGAGTTCCTAAACATTCCATAGGCTGATACCCTCAGAAAGAAGGGATGCAAAGTCATAGACTGTGCATGCAAAACCTGAGGCATGCTGCATGAATCTTTTGTCCCACTTGCACTTAGCCACTGGAAGCTCTTAGCTCCCATGTGTGCAAGTTAGGTGTGTATGGAAAATATATATGGAGATAGGGATACGGAAACTGAAGTGAACCTTGCTAGATTTCAGTCACCTAAAAGGTGTCTAATTTTAAAACAAACGTCTAGGCTGCTTTGATAATTAATGGCTTGAAACAGCTACATCCAGAGTGCAATCTTATCCAAAGGGTAGTTGGCTAAGAGAGGTCAATAAATTAGGTATATGTAGAGAGAACAGTTAACTGTTAGGTGGAGTTATGTGAAATGGAAGACTCTTTGTCATCAACTGTTCTGCACGTGAACAGCTTTGTCAACCTGTGCTCTAACATATCCCTATCTTGTTCCCATTGTCTGCACACAATGTTTGGACAGTGGTATATATAGATATATCTGAAGATTTATGTGAGTCATATGCATCATGCTAACAACATTAAGCAACATATGCACTTTCAAAGTCCTAGAATTTCTGAAATAATTACATGTATCACCCCAATGACGGATAACTTCTTTGACTGCAGACCTGCCAGGGCTCAAGAACATAATTGAGAGTGGTATTGTCAGTTAATATCATTCTTCTGGGGATTGTTCTGATTTTGTGTTCTGCAGTCTCAAGGCAGGATAAAACTTGATACTGCCCTCTGAGGAAAAAGCAGACATCAGCAATATGGGGTGGGGTTGGATTTCTGAAATATTTTGTTTGCAAGAGGTACAGATATATACCTGTTGGGATTTATAAAACACATAAAATATATTTACAAGTCTGTCCAATGGGAAGATTTTATTGTGGTAATGGACTGTGCTGTTTTTGGCTTATTTTTATAATAACATTGCCTTACATGAATTAGCATAGTGCAAATGCAACTGTGTTACTATGACAAAAGCTTTGTATCTCTGCAAGATAATATTCCACTTATGAACATATTCTATATGCATTATCTATCCTAATACTAGCAATGAACCGCTGCTCAGACTATGTATCAGTGGTAATGCAAATAAATGAAATCCAAAATATGGTAGAAATGCAGACTCTTATAGGATAACTTGTAAAATTAATAAGAATTTAAAAGTAAAATGTGACTGCAGAGCTGTTTGCCAGTTCACAAGCCTAAACCTTTGCGTTAGTACATGGAGTTACTAAGAGGGTAAGTGTAAACCAGGCCACTGCTTTTAAATTAAATTAAACCTGTATGAATGGTCATCAGAACAAGATAAATTTACACCGGTCACACTCAGTGATTGCTCTTAGATGCTGAAGGATACACGGTGCTGAAAAAATTGGCATTGTTCAGTGCTTTGTTTAACATGTTTGCTTTTTCCTCACAGTACAGTGCTGTGGATACAAATCCTTTATCTGTGTATATTATGCAGCCCATCTGGAACAAAATTATTAAGGTAAGAATTTTATTTAATAAAAAAATCACATATTAATATAAGAATTTGTTTTAAATACATCAGGTATTTTCATTTAAAAATATTGATTAATAAAGCTGAAATTAAGGCATCTGATAAAAGAAAACAAATATTGCAGAATATATAACTGTGTTTAAGATGAGTAGGTTATTTTGAGATGGGGAGGTTTTTTTAGATTTTTTTTTTTTTCTGATTGCTATAGAAAAGGCATCCATTTCTTTTTTACATCTTTCATTAAACAGCTTTGCAGACATGGAAGGTTTTACTTACTACAAATCATTTTCTTGCAACATATGCTGCCTAACAACAGCATGGCTTTATCTCTGTGCTGTGCATATGATTTTATGCAAGTGCTGTCTCATTTTCTCCCAAGGGTACTTGCTCAGAGGAGCCAGGCATTTCTTTAAGAAGCTGAAAATGAAAGCGGTTACCATGATCACCATAACGATTGGAAGATGCCATCTCTTGAATGCCTCACGATCTGCAGTTTTTAAAAATAAACTGCTCACAATTACTTGTGCTGTTGTTGGAAAAAAAAAAAAAAGCTGTGTCTCAAATAAATATGAACTTTATTGATCTCCAAGAAAGCAATGACTTCTGCATCTGCCTTGTTACAGGAAATATTTAGAGTGGAGCAGATTTGAAAATAAAGCTTTGTACTAACAAAAATGGATGTACGTGGTCAGAGTGCTGTTGAATCTGCATCTCTGGGTTCTATAATAAAGGTATTTCTTATTCTTAATACAGCAGGAAAATCATAGTCTCTCATTCACAATCTCAATTTAATGAAAAGTGTTTATATGTCCTAACTTAAGAACTGAAAAGCAACCCAAACGCATATGAGTAAAAAGCATTTCAAAGATGTGACACTGAATTCAGTAATTCAATTCAGAGACTCTGTTTTCATTCCCATCATGCTATTGAGGAAAACAACAGAAAAAAGAAAAGCCCCTCCAGCACTCTGCAGTCTGGCACAGGAGATGAGCAGAGGCTTTACTGTGTACTTGCACTTTGGTTTAGGAAATCCATGAGTATTCATCTGCTCTCAGATTGAAGGGAGTGTATTGCAATGCAACACTTCCTTTGCAGATAAGTTCTTCTTATGGTTGCAGCATTTTACCAGAGGAAAAGCGGCATTCTTGAATGTTCCCATGTAGTATAGGGTGATAGAACCCATAAAAAATGTGACCTTTAGATTTTTTTAAAACCTCATTGAGTTTTATGTGAGCATGACTTAGTTCTCTTCTCTCTGAAGGAGAACCCAAACCAGAGCGAAGGATTGAAAACCTGTTTCAAAAGCTGGGAGATCTGAGTATGGAACCAAAGACTGGGATGGGTGCTTCTGTACTTTGCCATTTGGTTTGTTTTGAACACTGAAGATACAGCACTGAATGTTCTACCTTGCCTTCTGTAGCAAGAGTGTAACAGAATAATTCTCAGTGATGTGTTGCGAGGATTTAAAGGGAGACAGTATTGCTCTCAGCTTTTGCAGAAGCAGTCATTCTAACGTTAGAAGATACTGCCATGTAGAATCAGAGTCCTGCAGAGGAGCTGGCAATGCACAGCAGCAGAGGAAAAGAGTATGTAATGGAGATTGCTCTTAGAGGTAAATGTGAGAACTGGGAGCTGGTTTTATTCCTGGAATAAATGTGTTTTATTCCTGGAAGGAATGGAAGTAATGGATTAATTCCTGGCTAGATACTGAAACCAGATGTGGCAGTAACTATTATTCCAAACTCAGCTCAAGAAAATTCTGCTCATCTGATCACCAAAATGCTATTTTCTCTTGAAGGGCTAGTATACCAGTGAAATCTTAACAAATTATATCAAGTTCTTAGTTTTAGAAGAAGCTTTGAATATATTTACTCTTTTTTTTTGGTTTGTTTGGGTTTTTTTTTTTTGTTTGTTTGTTTGTTTTTTGTAGCTTGTACCTACTGTAATAATTGTAGCTGAGTTATATAAGCGTACCCTAGACTATGTTATCCTGTGATGCAGAAAATAAACTCCTGTTCATGGCAGCTTTTCCATGTTGTATGAAACTATAGTAACAACTATATGGATCATCGAACCATAGAATCATTTAGGTTGAAAATGACTTTTAAGATCATCGAGTCCAACTGTTAACCCAGCACTGCCAATTCCACCACTAAACAATTTCCCCAAGTGCCAAATCTGCACTTCCCTGGGCATCCTGTTCCAATGCTCAACAACCTTTGTGGTGAAGAAATTTTTCCTAATGTCCAACATAGTGTCCCCTCGTGTGACTTGAGGCTGTTTCGTCATGTCCTATCACTTGTTACCTGGGAGAAGAGACTGACCCCCACCTGGCTACAACCTCCTTTCAGGCAGTTGTAGAGTGTGATAATGTCCTCCTTTGAACTGCCTTTTCTCCAGGCTGAACAACCCCGGCCCACTGAGCTGCTCCACATAGGACTTATGCTCTAGACTCTTCACCAACTCCATTGTCCTTCTCTGGACATGCTCCAGCACCTCAATGTCTTTTTTGTACTGAGGAGCACAGAACTGAACACAGGATTCGAGGTGCAGCCTCACCAGTGCCGAGTAGAGGGGGACAATCACTGCTCTGGTCCTGCTGGCTACACTACTGCTGATACAGGACAGGATATCACACTAGGGTATGACTCTAGATGTTATTTAAAACTATGCTGATCATGCAGCTATAGGTATTTCATCTTCATTTAATTCAATGCTCCATCCATTTGCCTTTAATAGGGATTTGTATTTTATAATGAAGCACGATCTTGTGCTCTCCGATAAATAATGAACAGTATTATTTAGCTATTATGCAAACTGAATATTCCTCCTGTATTTGTGTTCATAAGAAATCACATCTGTGCAGGACAATAAGAGGAAAAGGAGGAAATCCCACTGGGATACATAGGTGCGTGCCAGCTTCACTGTAATCAATTTAACTCCCTTCTGTTGCCTTTATGAACTTTGATTTTATCACTAGAATTGGGCAAGAGTAGAATTTTAGTGGTCTCAAGTGACTTAGTGGAGTTTAAACAGAACTTTATATAAATGTGTACTTTACCATTTATAATCCAAATAGTTGATATATTAAAGCATTTGCTGTTTGTATTAAGGCTTTTCATATGAATGGCTGTAGACCTGGTGGAACAGAAATCATTTAGTGTTTTGTGGAACTGTTTTAAAAGGTTCAAGCATACAAAAGTTTTGCCAGAGAACAGATGTGATTCTCCCCATGGTACCTTCAGTTGTATTAATCATGTAACACATGATTAGATATATTAGATTTCTACTGTCTGTTAATTAGATAATAAAGTTTGCAATGTGTCCTTCCGTAAATTCAGACTCTTATTTTTCCAGGGTGTGTAAGAAGTTAATCTTGAACACAATGTGATTTTTTAAATTATGAAATAAGGTGATGGTAGTGTAATGCCAACCAAAAGGATAAGGGGCACTAAATGTAACAAGAGGGATTTTGCAATTGGAATACTTTCCAAATACGTAGACGGATTAGGTTCGGTAAGGATCAAAAGAACATGCTTAGGGGTTTAACTGCAGGAGAGTGTTTTCCTGAGGACAGAAGTCCTGTAACTGTTTTTCATGGTGTGTCTGTTAGCCAAAGGGATTGCAAGTATAAGAACATCCTTTGAAGGTTTCCTTCTCAGAATACATGCTGTTAGCAAGAAAGTGGGTTAAAATAACTTCATCATGTTTGCACCGTTTAAGCATAAATTATTTCCTGTAATAACTTAATAATGACATTGTGACTGTTTAGAATAATGAGCCTAATTAGAAAGCAGATGATTGTGGTGCCCCACTTGATTTAATAGTCAACAATTCTTATGAATTGTGCAGGCGAAGTCAGTCATTTTAAAACACTGTGTTGGATGGCATCTGTATATCCACGTAAACGTGGTGTCTTAACATAGTATTTTTATCCATGGTCCAGACTAAAAAAGATAAATCTAGAATATTTTTAGTGTTTGTTGTTCATGTTTCATATAAGGTCATAGACAGCAGACAAATTCCCCATCAGAAGATTCATCTTCTGCACCTCAGGTAGCAAAACTGGGAGAATGTGCTGCTGTTGCTGCATGCTGAGCATGCAGTCAATGTAGTAAAAGGGGATGGTGCAGTGAAGAGTTCTACACTGGGTGTTCTCCAAAAGGAACTTCAGGGGACAGTTGCTGTCCCTTTTCTTAGAGGTTTAGATTTGGGCTTTTGAACACTCAGAATTATAGATATGTTAAATTTTTTTATTGTAGCTGTATGCATTCCGTGATGTATTCTAAATACTGTAAGAGCTGCCATACAGTGTTTTAAAATTAGTCATAAAATCCTGGTGATAAAGAAAGAAATTTTCAGATATAATAATTACTACTAATGCTATTACAGAAAAAAATCTAAAAAACTTAACAGAAAAATATTCAGGAATTTTAATCTGATTTTTTGTAAGTTTACACTTTAGACTATACACTATCAGTTGCACAATTCCTCCTGAATATTATAAAATGTTCTATAATAGGAAAAGAGGATCTAGTCAGAATAATTAATCAGTTCAAGCATTCAAATTTTAAAAGTAAATTTTTCATGCAGTAATAGGATAGAGGAAATGTAAAGATGTATACAAATTCCCATGTATTCACCTGTCTGTCCATCTAGCTAGTCCATAAAAACTAACAAATCATTTTGTTTCAAAACTGTCATTAGTATCTAACTTCCTTTTCTTTAGTATTGTCTCGTAATATTTTATTGTTAAAGTACTTTAGATATATTTTCAGTCCTTAGGCAATCCAAAGAATTTGATTATAAACCCCCAGTATTTTTGTATTTTAAAATATATTGATAATGTGTTTGAGTGATGCTATTTGATTCTAAGTATTTCTGCAAGTATGTTCTGTCTAAAAACCATGTAGAAAGCTGTGTATGCTATTTCAGAAAAAATATGCTGGAGAAACTGTGTTACTTGGGAAGAGTGTTACCAAAAAGGACCCTGTTGCAGTGTAAGGAGCACCTTAGTGCTGCAGGGTGTGAATAGCTGAGAGTGGTTACTGAGACAAAGAATTAGAGGTTTAGGTGAAGATGGAGTCCTTCTCAGCACCCTACAAAGTAAAATGAATTAATGGAGTGTTTATAAGTAAAGAGGAAGACCCTAACAGTATGTTGCTATCTAGAGAGGTAGGGAGCTGCTTGTAACAGAGAGATCTTCTGAATCTAAAAGTGTAATGCACTCAGGGTCTGATTTTGTTGATGTTGTGAGTTAGAAATTATTGACATATTATAGAAGAGGAAATTTCCTTTTTATAGCATGGGAATAGAATGCTGAAAAAAACCTACCACGTGGATACTGAATTACCACACTGGGGTGCTGCAGTCTTCTTTCAGCTCTGATACAGGAAGCTTTCCTTGATGACTGGGTAACTAAGGATAATGTACAACGTAGGGAATACAATATTTTAAAATGTCATTCTTACTGAAGTCACAAAGATCGGGCAAAAGGAATGCATTTGAAAATAAATTTCAGAAATGAAAACAGTATTTTATTTTGAAAATGGTGAAATATGCACAAATCTGAACATTGCTGATGCCTATAAATGCTTCTTTCCTGATATAAAATATTTACTTAAAATAGGATGTACAATTTTTCTGAAATTCTTTTCTTTCTTTTTTAACAGATAGTGCCTTTGTGGATTGCTCCCAACCTCTTAACATTCTCTGGATTTGTCATGATTTTATTTAATTATTTTCTAATATCTTTTTATGACTGGGACTACACTGCCTCAGGTAAAAATCCTCATGTTGTAATTTTTCAGAATTAGTGAGCTGCTTACATTTCTGAATGTTACAGGGAGGGATCAGACACGTGAATCTTCCGCTCATTCCCTTCATGACACTCCATGAGCACAATAGGAGGATCTGACCTCACATATGGCATTAAAAATGAAGAACATTTTATTGAAAAATATTATTTAATTTTATCCCTAAAATGTGTTTCAGCATATGCTGCTTGCAGTCTGTGATATCTCATTTTATCTAAAGTTTATTCCAGGATTTAAATGCACAGACACAAAACACCTTAATGTTCTTCATAAAGTTTTCATTGGTTTCACATTTCCTAATACCTAAATTGATGCCTGAAGGAGTTAATTTCTCTTTCATTACTAAACACACGCCCCCTATTCAAAACTGCTTCTAGACAAAGAAGACATAGTTTCTAAATAAATGTCACTTCCAATTGCGGCTCTCTAAGTCTGATTCCATATTTGCTCTTCATGGTAGATCAAGTCAGAAGCTTTTTGGAACTGATTGCTCGAGTGTAGGGCATGTTTAGTTCTGGGCTTCTCAGACCAGCTGTTGGAGCCTACAGAAGCATCTTCTGTAAGGTGAATAATATATAAAACATATATGTATATAAAAATACATAAAAAGCCTTAGTTTTCTTTAAATGAGACAATTTAGTGAAGGCAACACTTTTATTTCCTGAAACAACTACGTTTAGCTGTCTTTAATTTTTTTATGCCTGTGTTTAGATTCAGGAGGTACCCTTTGGTGTGGGCTGTTTGTACATTTATGGTAACAATTCTAGAGGCAGGGATACTTGTTTGCAGTTTTGGTTCAAAAGTAATCCTGCATGAGTATTACCTGTTCAGGGCCAGCTTGTTATATATTGTATGGCCTTATTCTTAAACGCTTGGGGTGTTTTTTATCAATGCAGCTGATATTAAGTTCTGTAATAAAAGAGCGTCCAGAACAAATCTTTTTAAATGGGATGATGTTGTCTTGACAAATTCCCAGTAGATATACATGGAACTTGAAGATATTTGAAATGGTGATTAAGTCTGTTGGAGTTGAGGCCTATAAGTGTAGCTTGCAACCCTCTTCTCGATTTCACATGAGAACAGTGCCCATCATTTCTCGATTGATTGAAAACATTCATGCAACCTAACAAGCCTTTTGAATATCATATATCAATCCCATACCTAGGATCAGAAATAAAAGACTTAATTTCCTGGACAGCTGGTTTTCATTCTACAGTTTGCAGATTTGCAGCTAGGGGACAGGAATTGCCATCTTTTCTTTCAGAATGGCAAAGTGAGGCATTGTGAAAGGTACTTAGGGCACTGTTTTATGTGCTAGCAACTCCTGGCATCATTCAAACAAGGACACACCTCTGTATGCAGGAATTCCCTGTGTTTGGTGCCAAATGCCAGAAATCTGAGAGGCATTTACAGTTGTTTAGTGCTGGTGTAGAACTTACTGAGTGATGTTTAAGTTAAATAGAACAGTCTTTGGAAAAAGGATTGATTTCTTTGAAAGAGCAACAATAACCTTGGGTTAATGCTATCAATAGAGCATGAACAGAACCCTGGGCTCTGTCCAATTCAACTTTTTTTTCTGTTTTCTCAAGGGAAAAAAAATGGGTGCTAATATTTTTCCTAGCTTGAGGACAAAAGCTTCCTGTTCAGATCTGTACAGTAAAGCTCCTATACAAACCCCAGGTTGGCACTAATAATCATGCTTGAAAACTACTCTTTTTTTGCTTCTAGATATTAAATAAACATGAACTGATTTGTCAATGGATAGTCTTCCTGTGACCTGTGAAAATTTCTGTCTAGTTACTGTCATTGTTTTGTGCAATAATAGAGTAATTTCAGGACCAAGAATCCTTATCTTCTGTCCTCTACAGTGTAAACACATTTGAACCTGCTCCAGTACATCTTTGATAGAACTCACTGATGCCTGAAGGTCAAAACAAAGTATTTCAATCTATTTTATGCACTAGGTTAATCAGTGGCAGGTTGTTTTTATATATATGCATATGTTCGTGGATTTCTTTGATGTTAACCACTGTTACACTGACTTACTACTGCATTTATTTCAGGTAGCAGTCCTGGACTTGTTCCCACCTGGGTGTGGCTGTTCAGTGCTTTTACCACCTTTTGTGCTTATGCTTTAGGTAAAGTACAGTGAAATAATTTACACATCTTACGTCTTTGTGTAGTTTTATCTTCAAAGTCACTAATGTGGATTCTGAGATGAAGAGGCGTTGTGGATAAATTACTGATCTCTTTCCAAAACAGTTCTCTTAGATGAAAAAAACACAACCAAAAAACCAAAAACACACGAAATTTATAAGACTGAAGAAAATTCCAAACAGCATATGAAGTTATATATTAGAGGTTCTATGATGAGGCTCTTATCCCTCTTTAAAGTTCAAATTATTTTAGAGGAACAATGGAAATCATTATATAGCAGCAGTCAAAGAAGTATAGAATGGTTGGGATTGGAAGGGACTTTAAAGACCATCTAGTTCCTTTCTCCCTGCCATGGGCAGGGACACCTTCCACTAGACCAGGTTGCTCAAAGCCCCATCCAACCCGACTATAAACACTTCCAGGCATGGGACATCCACAGCTGCTCTGGGCAATCTGATCCAGTGTCTAATCACCTTCACCGTAAAGAATTTCTTCATAATATTTAGTCTAAACCTACTCTATTTCTGTTTGAACCCATTTGCCTTTGCCCTGTTGCTCCATTCCCATGTAAAAAATCCTACTCCAGTTCTCTTGTAGGACCCCCTTTAGGTACTGGAAGGCTGCTCTGAGGTCTCCTGGGAGCTTTCTCTTCCCAAGACTAAACAACCCCAAGTCTCTCAGCCTATCTTCATAGAAGAGTCATTGCTCTTTGATTTCATAAAAGTCTTTGTTCCTTGATGTTGACATTCTGAGAAGCTCCTTGACACCAGCATTAGCAGAGGGTGCTTTCAAAGACAAATGAAGATAAAGGGCAAAAGAGAGAAAAAGGAAACTGTTAGGTGCTTCAGTGCTTATGGCATGTGTCAGGAGAAATGGTGATGACAGATGTGATGACAGGGCTGAGCTTCTTATGGAGATGAAATATGATTTTTTTCTTTCCTCTTGCTGTTTTTCTCCTGTAACACCTACACCTTAGTTTCATATTCCATTTTTACTATTTTGTGCCATGCCGTGACTGTATTTTTAGGTATATTGCACCTTGCTGTGCAGTGGAGTGAAGATATAAACCTGAACTGATTCAGATCTGGGAGTGAGATCCACAATAGCATGGCATTTTTGCTTTCTCTTCCAAAGCTATCTCATTCCAAGCTAGTCTCTCCACAATGTGGTGCAACAGAGTTAATTTTGGGGGGGGCCCAAGATAGTATATTTACATGGACTGCACAGTGCTGTGTAAAAAGGGTCCAGAAAGGCTGGACATACCTTAAAAAGGAAATCTTAAAGGTACAGCAGCAGACCATCCCTGTGTGCTGAAAGGTGAGCTGTCGGGTAAGAAAATCGGCCTGGCTGAAAAGGGAGCTTTTTCTGGAACTCAGAGGAAAAAAATAGAGTTTACGACCTTGGGAAGAAGGGGCAGGCAACTCAGGCAGAGTACAAGGATGTCATTAGGTCATTTAGAGAGATTAGAAAGACGAAAGCTCAGCTAGAACTCAATGTGGCCATGGCTGTGAGAGATAATAGAAAATGTTTTTATAAATACATCAATAACAAAAAGAGGGCCAAGGAAAATCTCCGTCTTTCATTGGATATGAAGGGAAATACTGTAACCAAGGGTGAGGAAAAGGCTGAGGTACTTAATGCCTTCTTTGCCTCAGTCTTTAACTGAAAGACCAGTTATCCTCAGGGCAGTCAGTCTCCTGAGCTGGTAGACAGGGATGGGGAGCAGAGTAGACCCCCTGCAATCCAGGAGGAAGTAGTTAGTGACCTGCTGTGCCATTTAGAGACTCAGAAGTCTATGGGGTAGGATGGGATCCACCCGAGGGTACTGAGGAAGCCAGTGGAAGAGCTCACCAAGCCACTCTCCATCATTTATCATGATAAATCAGAAAGGTCCTGGAAAAATGGTGGTGAGCCAGTGTGGTGCCCATCTGCAGGAAGTGTTGGAAGGAGGATCTGGCAAACTACAAGTCTGTCAGTCTGTCCTCAGAGCCAGGGAAGATCATGGAGCAGATCATCTTAGTGCCATCTCTTAATGCTTACAGGACAACCAGGGGCTCAGGCCCAGCCACCATGGATTTAGGAAGGGCAAGTCCTACTTGACCAAGGTGGTCTCCTTTTGTGACCAGATGACCAGCCTAGTGGATTAGGGAAAGGCTGAGGATGTTGTCTACCTGGAATTCAGTAAAGCCTTTGATACTGTCTCCCACAACATTTTTCTGGAGAAGCTGGCACCCTGTGTCTTGGACAGGTGCACTCCTCACTGGATTAAAAACTGTCTGGATGGCTGAGCCCAGGGAGTGATGGTGAATGGAGTTACATCCAGTTGGGAGCCGGTCACCAGTGGTGTTCCCCAGGGCTCAGTATTGGGGCCAATCTTGTTTAATGTCTTTATCCAGAATCTGGATGAGGGGATCAGGTTCAGCCTCAATCAGTTTGCAGATGACATCAAGTTGGGTAGGAGTGTTGATCTGCTGGAGGGCAGGATCTGGACAGGCTACATCAATGGGTTGAGGCCAATGGTATGAAGTTCAACAAGGCCAAGTGCTGGGGCCTGCGCTTGGGTCACAACAACCCCACACAGCACTACAGGCCTGGGGAAAAGTGTCTAGAAAGCTGTCTGGCGGAAAAGGACCTTGGGGTGCTGGTTGACAGCAGCTGAACATGAGCCAGCAGTGTGCCCAGGTGGCCAAGATGACCATGGCATGTGGGCTGTATCAGCAACAGTGTGGCCAGCAGGATCAGGGCGGTGATTTTCTCCCTGTACTCTGCACTGGTGAGGCTGCACCTCTGAGTACTGTGTCCAGCACTGGGCCCCTCACTACGAGAAAGACATTGAGATGCTGAGTCCAGAGAAGGGCAACAGAGCTGGAGCACAAGTCCTGTGAGGAGTGGCTGAGGGAGCTGCGGGATTATTTAGTCTGGAGAAGAGGAGACTCAGGCTCTACAACTTCCTGAAGACCAGGTGGGGGCTCTTCTCCCAGGCAACCAGTGACAGGACAAGAGGAAATTGTCTCAAGCTGCACCTCATCTGCAACTTAGGAGGGGTTCAGGTTGGACATTAGAAGAAATTATTCCCTGAAAGGATTGTTAAGTGTTGGAATGGATTGCCCAGGGAGACAGTGGAGTAAACATCCCTGGAAGTGTTCAACAAATTCCTGGATACGGTTTAGTTGACCTTGTAGTGTTTGGTCAGAAGTTGACCTGATGATCCTGGAGTTCTTTTCCAACGTTAGTGATTCTACTCTATGATTCTAAATGTACACTCTCCTTGGAGCTGTTTCTTGTAAGGACATTGCAGAGCGTAGCCATACATTTGTGTGACATACTTGAGGCACTCAGGCTACATACGGATGTGCTGTGTACGCTGCAGTGCTGTGCTGACCACTTTTGGAATCAGACACATGTGTATAGAGCCATCTAGATTAATCTGGGGGTATTCCCTTGTGCAGAAATCTCCCTCTGCATTGTAAATGCCTTGGCATTTCTATTAAATTGGTGAGATCATACTAAAATTATTTTTTCCAGAATTTCTTTTTATTTGTGCCATAAAAAGCAATAGGACAACTGTACCTTGGAGCTGACTACTAGTCAGAATTTCCCTAGCTCTCTATAATAATTATCAGAAGCAATAGTTTCTCTTGTGAAAACAGTTTTTATGTAATTGTATATAATTTAATGAAGTGGCTATTGTTTCATAAATAGGAATTACATATAGGAGTTGTTACTGTATGACACCCCAGGAAGCTCATTGGAAGTTCAGCTTCCAAGATTCTTAATGTGGATGGTGTTTGCCAGTGAGGCCTGTAGTTCCCAGTACTTGGAAGGCAAGGAATATGATTTTGACAGTCAAAGCTATAATGAACTAATGTATATGTAGATTTTTATGTCTGCTGTCCAAGCCACTTCATGAAATATTTAGTCTCAGATTTAATTCTTCATGGCCAAAGTTTTCCCTTTGGAAGACTGCAAAGGGCCATAATAACTAACCAAATATGCAGCTGTAATCTCTCTCAGCTTCTTTTTAATGACACAGTTACTCTCTTCAAATGCTGCTCTTCCCCACTGCCCCCTTTTTTAAGGTGGTTTGGCATCTTTCCCTTTCCATAAAATGCACTGCTATTTGCTGTTATTTTAAATTCCAATCTCTGAAAGTTATATAAAATTTAATAAAACTGAATGTTTATGAACCTTTATGAGACAAAATGATAATATAAGAATTCTAAAGCAATGGAAATGTGGGACAATGTATGTCCACTTTTGAACACACCATTGTTGGCATGAATGATTTTAAACTGAAACTTAAAATGGAAAATATTTTCAGTCTCTTAAAAAGGTAATGAAACTACAGGGAAAATGTGGTTGAAGATTTTTGAATATCCGATTTTATGTATGTGTCATATAGTTCCTGTATTTTTATCCATGCCCATTATAATTAGTAATACTGCATTTTATGAGACCATTGTAAGCCTCATTTTAATAAAACTAAAGTTCTTGCAAAATGAAAACCACTTTTTCACTGTGATATACATATTTTACTATCTAGTGTCACTTTTGTGACAACTTAATTCATGAACAGAAAAATCTTGTAATGTTCTCATTTTCAAAAGTATTACCCATGTAACTGAATTCTCCCTTATTTTGGATAGGTATTCTTGAAGTGTAAAAGGCCATAAACTGTTTAGGGTTGGTTACATACTTATTTGCTAGTTAAGTTTCGGAAATATTCTTTACTGGATGGAAGAATTTTTGCAGTTATAGTAACACCATTCATTTAACCTCAAGCTTATAAATAGTTTTCTTTCTGCACATTTCAGTAAGATGTTGAAAATTCAGCGGTAATGTTAATAGAGGAAGAAAGCGTCTCTAGAAAGGGGCAAGCTATATTTGAAATCCTCTATGAGATATTTAGAGTTGTGAGAACTGTCTCAAGAGATTTGTATTTGAGTGGAGGATATCTCACAGCTGTTTAGGTATTACAATAGAGAGACAGTCTGAAATCTGTACGAAATGAAATCCCATGTTTTCCCAGTTTAGGTCCCTAAAGTATATTTACATTAAACAAAGCTCAGAGTATTGCCAAATAATCTGGAGAAGTAAGTAGCATATGATCTATAGCAGCTGTGGAGTCTTTGGTCTCACTCTACTGAGTTGTATCTCTAGTCAGTTTTGCGTTATTAATGCTATCAATAGCTAATAACTGCTTTACCTTCCAAGTAACATTGAGAAGAAAAAAACCCACCATTTTATTTTGAGATTCAAGACAATGATAAGTAATCTGTAAGGTTTGTTCTGTGTACTTTTTCCTAAGAGATTCATTCTGCATCTTTACACTTAACTTTAGGAGGAAAATATTTTTCAGCAGCACAGTCTCAGAGAAGAGGCTAAAGGTATGGTTTGACAATACAACTAAGAAAGGTTACAGATGCTAGACCTCTTCCTCCTGCCTGCATTCACCACCCGTCTTATGTTACCTCCCTTGCTTTTTGTACCATTCATAACACCAAATGTGTTAGTGACCCAGAAGAAAACATAATTTTTACTCTCTTTCCACCAGCTGAACAGGCTGCAGGTCCCCCTGTTTGACAGCAGTGAATTATCAGATCAACTCAAACCACATTGTCCAACTGCATCTTCAGAGTGAGGTCCAGTAGAGTGTTGGACCATCTTCCAAGCACTCAAGTATTAAAAGTGATCAATCAACATGTAGTGCACCTTAACTATAATATATTTTTAGATTCATATAATAATACATTTTGCAAAAGGCCCCGAAGATTACTAAGTCCAACCATTAACCCAGCACTGCCAAGTCCACCACTAAATTATGTCCCCAGTCTATCTCACAAGTGGTCTGAAGGCTCAGAGGGTGCCCAACACCAGTGGATGGGTGAGAAGCCCTATGGACACTTTTCAGCACTTAAAACTGATTGCAGGGACTGACATTAAAAGTGTTTCAAGGCCACTGGGGTCAAGTAATAATGGATGTGTTTCTAATGCTCATAAGAAAGGTGGCATTACAGCTTCAGAGATGAGGTAAGGACAGAAAAATTGCTTGATAACTGAAGCAAGTATTTAACGAGCAATCCTAATCTGTTGGTATTGAGGAGGCTGTTGTGCTTCAGTCATCAGTGTAATTTTCTTATATGTTATATATGGCAGTAGTGCAGTGTATGTGAAGAAAGTTACTCCTTTTGTTGTGCTCTAGATTTAATTCTTTTCTTTTCTCAATCCTTCTAGACTCCATAGATGGGAAACATGCTCGAAGGACTCAGTCCAGTACTCCTCTGGGAGAACTATTCGACCATGGACTGGATAGCTGGGCTACCTCCATTTTTGTGCTTTCCTTTTTTTCTGTCTGTTCCCGTGATAATGGGAAGACTGGAGTTTCTGTATATACAATGTATATATATTTAAGCATTGTCTTGTTTAACTTCATGTGTTCACACTGGGAGAAATACAACACAGGAGTTCTTTTTCTTCCTTGGGGATATGATATAAGCCAAGTGGTAAGTATTTATCATTTCTGTTTTGTTTTTATTTTTTTAACTATATCGTTATTTTCATAATATTAAAGAAATAGAAAAATAGAGCTAGAGGCAAATATATGTGGCTGGGATATTGAAATATGTGAAATTGCATAACCCTAAAAGTAATTCAGAAACATTGCCTGCATTTACAATGAAGAGATGCTCTTGAACAAATTGTCATCATCAGAGATTCATTGCCTTGCAGGAGAAAAAAGACTTGCAGCAAGCCTAGCAGCCAGATAATGCCTATGAGAATGTCATTTAACTGCATTTGATTTGTGGTATTTACAAAAAATTATTTTGCTCTCTGAAGCCATAAGCAGTTTTCCCCCCAACACTGGGTTCTGAGACATGATGGGAATTAGTCCAAGTAGTATCTACTAATAGTAATTACACAGTTATACACTGCTAGACCTTCTCAATTCTACCATGTTTCACAATAAATGTGGTGATGGAAATAGCATTGTAACTATACAGAGAACACTAACTGTTGTAAAGTGAATTCTACCCTTGAAAATAACGTCAGAGTCATATAATGGATGTCAAAAACTCGTAGAGAATGACATTCAGTAACATGAATTACGTATAAGCCCACAGTCAGCCCCAGCTGAGTTCTTGCCTGGCTTACAGCCCTACCTTGAGGTGGACTTCTTCAGAAACATGCCCAGGCCACCACAGTGAGTGGTGTCCTCAGTACTCAAATGAACAGCAGTAGTAACAAGCTCGGTGCACTTCCAAGGGCCCAGCACTGGATTTCTGGGCTGGCTTGTCTGTTTCTTAGATAGCCCAGCTCTTGCAGCCTGAAGAGCAGAGTCACAGTCTTCTGAGCTTCCTTTCACAGGCATGAGATGAAAGGTACAGCCAAATAGACATAATTGAAAAGAAGTTTGACAAATACTTGAATATGTGTTTTAATGGAAATATTGTATTTGAATTAATGACTGCAGATGTATTGCTGTAAACATAATCAGCATCCAGTGGTTTGAGAACAACTCAGAGATGGTGGTCCAGCTGTGGTGCATCTGTGTCATCCCCTAGAAAATAGGTTCTGGGAGAAGAAGTTGGCTCAGGATGAAGACATTAGGCAGCCAGCTGGTCTGCAAGTTTCAGTCATGTCTGTATAAGGCTTCTTGGTGAAGTTCTTCCAGCAGGAGAGGAATAGCTGTGTTCAAACCAATTTCACTTATTGGTCAGATGATCATTGTATATGTGAATGTTTAGAAAGCTCTGCTGGATTTCTCCAGCATCCGAACCCTATTAGTGTTTAAATATGGGAATGGGTATCAGCTACAGGAGAAGTACTGTTAACTGTGTCAGTGCTGGTAGTGACCTATGCCCCTGGCACTGCTCTCCCATTTGGGGAATAATGCTAATAACATTTCCCTGCCTGACAGATTTGTGGTGAGGCTGGATATCAGTAAAGTTTGTAAACTGCTTTGATTAACTGGGATGCAAGGTGCTAACAAGTGCTACTTCCTGTTTCCCTCTGATGCTGGATTGCTGTCCTGCACACTTGCTTTCTAGTAACTTCTGTGATGATTTGGCTATGGTCAAAGTGATAAGCCTGTAACTGTCAGATTTTTTTTTTATGCTATTTAGCACAGTCATCAACAGTGGTGGAAGACTGTACTGTTGAAATCTCTGTATGTCAGTTTTCCCATCTGTAAAAAATAGCTTTTGTACTTGTGATAGCCTGTTAACAAAGACAAAACAGAATTTGGATCAAGGTAGTATTTTTCTGTTAGTCCAAACGACATTTCACATACACCAGAAAGTACATAATGTATTTTTTTCCCAGCTGTCCTAACTAGTCCAGTAAAAGGTCTTAATTTCCCTAAAAAATTGCTCTTGATTTGTAAACCCATTCAGCAAATTTTGTATGGTGTGTGCACTCCTGAAGGGTTCATCTCCAGTTACTTGGTGGAGAAGATACTGGGGACAATAGCAAATGCCTGATGATAAGTAGGAAAGGTAATGCTCCCCTCGCTTTTTTTTTTTCCCCACTACTTCTCTGCCAGATATTCCCACAGTCACATTTAGAGGCAGAGTGTGTGGAAGCACTCTCAGGCTGCTTTCAAACTGATTCCCAGTGCTTAGTTCACTATATCCTCCATGGCATTCCTAGCTGGATTGGTGCAGGAATGCACCTCTCTGTTCTGTCTTTATTCATTTCACTGACAATGTGTTGCTATTGCATTGGCATGTCAGACACTCAGGTGGTCTAGTCCCCTGCTTCTGCTTCTAAATTTGATGGTAGCCAGGAACTCTGGGCTTCATTATCACCCCAAAACTCAAGAAATAAAAGTAGTTAGTATAAGTGTGCAAATAGATAACTGTTGACCTTAATGAAAGCTGAACTGGTATGTGGCTCCCAGGACACTGCTGCTGAGTCAGCTCCACTCTATATAAACACAGACAGCTCGCTCACATGCTCTGCCTTAAATGTGGTATAAAAAGAGCTGCTGTTCCTCATGAAAAAGTACCTCATTATGAATAGAGAAATTTGTGGGACTTACGCAGATCACATTTTTCTGTGACTTGATGACTCATCACAACTGGTAACCCAATTACTCTAGCTGGGCTGTAATTGGCACTCCAATTAGCTTTGATTACAGCAGACAGCCATTTACAGGAGGCTGTGGTTTGTAAACTTGAAAACTGGCTGTAATGTGTCTGAGAGATGCTTGGTCAGAGGACTGTTACATTTTTGGATCCAGAATCAAGGAGGAGGCATCTGCACCAGGGAAAACCCTTACTCTCTCTCCTCTCTCCAGCACGAAGAGCTATTTTGTGCTGACTCCTGAGTGAGCAGAAAAGGATGCAGGGAGAGGAGCCTCTGTACCATAGCCTCTAGACAGTTTTCATACACTTTTGAGTAAGAACACCTATTGGAAATCCCAAGAATTATGGTCTGAAGAAAAGGCTGAAAAATAAATCTCTGCTATAATCTGTGAGAAATTCTCTTGATACATCTTGAGAGGACAAAGGCTTTTGTTTTTGTCACAAACCCAACTAAAGAAAGCTAATATCTGCAAATTAACTTCTTGGAGGAAAAAAAGACAAAACTTTCTTGGGAAATGAAAACTTCAGCCTTCTTGCCATATGCTAATTTTCACAGACATCCTCCTGATTAAAAAAAAAAAAAAAGAAAGAAAACCAAACTATTTTCCTCCTGAAAAATTTAATATTCCCCCAATGAAATACTCCCTTTGCTTTTCCTAAGCCACTGCAGTTGAATTCATAGTAGGGGAACAAAATACTCATTTTTTCTTAATATGATGTAATGATAACTTCTTCCATTGGTGCTGCCTTAAGTGTAACAGGAGGCACCCTTTATATTCGTAAATAGAAGTTTAAAAGTGAAAAGAAGAGCTGCCTGAGAGATGGAGTGACCCAGATCATTCCATTCTGCTTCCTCTCCTGCTCCCCAGCCATGAAGCCAAGCTCAAAAGCAGCACAAGCAGCAAAAAGTGAAAGGCAACATGCAGCTCTCTCTGGCCCAGCCCTTGTCCTGTAAGGAGAGGATGACCAGAAATCCTACATATATAAGGTCATGCCTGAAGGGATGGGTACTTGGACCATGAGCCCCAGGTTTTTGGTTTAAGATGCTTTAACAGCTGCTTCTGCCAGAGGACAGTACCACCGAGTCTCAGGGAGAATGCTCTGCCTGCCTTGGAACTCTGAATAAATGAAATCCATGATGCAGACAGCGACTGAAACAGTGTACAACTTCCTTTCCTTCTTCCTATGAGTCAAAGCAGGGGAATGGTTTTTTTGTTTCGATGCCAAGTACCAGGGTTTTTTTTTTGACAAGCTTTTTACAAAACTCATGCTGAAATATGTTTCAAATGACCTATTCTTGGGAAGCTGATCTCTGCCAGCTTTTTAGGAACTGACAGGGAAATCTCAAGCAATGCAAGTGCACATCACACCTTGAAAAAATTTTTACCTTTTCTGAGGGGCAAAAAAAGTTGTCTATTAAAAAGCAAAATAAACTTGCAAATATCTTGTTCTTTGGTCACGATACTAGGATTCACAATTTAATTATTAAAAAGATATTCACTTTCAGTTTTTCTAATTTGATGTGTCTGTGGAAAGCATAGTCTTTCTTGTGATGAAATATTATTATTATTCAGTTCCAAATGCAGGAGCACACTGGAATTGTGGAACTGACAGAACAGATAGCAGCGTGGAAGCAGTTCTGGCCAGACCGTGGTGTCTGCTTCAAGCTGCTTCCAGATGTGACTAGAAACTGATCTCAATACTCAGTTATCTGAGGGAAACCCCATGGTGTAGCCATGCGAAATTTAAACATAAGAGCCTGCTGTGCACAGGCTCTTTCTGCAGCAGATGATTGCTTCATTCTAAGCCACTTGATTATGATTCTGTGCAAACCTTTCTTGGTTAATTAATCTTCCACGTGCCTTCAGCTGGTTACCTATCACGTCTAAATGCAAAGTGATGTTTTTAGGAAAAACTTTTTACAGGCTAAATTTGCAACCTTCAACTATTTATTGAACGAAAAAAGACTGAGAAAAAAATTAAAATGGATAAATTGGACATCATGTTAAAACTAAGTACTTAAAAATACTTGCAGGAAATAATTCTTGCTCTTTTAGGCAAGTGTCACATTTATTTTCAGAAGAGAAAGTAACCTTGTATGTTAAATGTCTTTGTTTTCAAGATGTTCTGTTTGAGCCCTGTGTTAGTGGAAAATATTTCAACACATGAACAATTAATGCTATAGCAATATGCTTGTGAAACTGAATATTACAGTAAAATTAATGTCAATTTTTTTTTGTGGAATCATGAAGAATTTAAAAGCATATCCACATTTTTTAAAAAATATGAGAAAATGTTTGATTTTTTTCCCCACTGTTTAGAATATCACACAGCATACTAAATGTGCCTGTGTGTAAAACAGAAATTTTAAAGCACATAGGAGAAAAAAATAAAGTATGTACACACAGAGTCTAGAATATTGTGGCCACAAAACTTACACCTGCAGTATTGGAAAGACATGCTAGAGACGGTGATTTAAAAAAAATTAAATATTTTAGAGAACAGTTAAAAGACTAGAAATTAGAAGACTTTGAGGAGTTATAATGCCTTATGATTATATAGAATTTTCCCAATGCAACATCAAAGAACTACTCTGATTTTACAGAGGAGCAAAGGTGACTATGTTGCTGTGAATTATAAAATTGTGACAAGATAGGGAGTCTGCTCAGAAGCCAGTGGTCCTGCTTTTAGCCATATCAAAGGGCCTACAAATTAACACCTTGTATTTCCAGAATTTTCTCAGCATAAGTATTCCTCATCCTCATAGATAAGGCCTTGGCAAGCCAAAAATGGCTGGTCAGATGCAGTGAGTTGAAATCCAAGATTGTATATGTCTGGCACTACTTCACCATATAGTTCTCACTTGTGTTACTTGATTTGGACTTCTCAATTTGCAAAAGACTGCATGACTATATTTATATCTGAAAAGTAGTAAAGCTGATTGATGGCTGAGAGATAAGTAAAAAATTTGGTCATCTTTTCTGAAGTAGAATTATTCAGTTGCACTTAGGGACACTGATTTTTATTTATTTATTTTTTTACCAACAGTGCCTTTAAAAGCAGTTTATACAGCTGATTAACATACTTAGCTTTAGCCAATCATTTTGACAATCCTAATTTTTTGCTAATATATTTTAGATTAAGGGACACAGCTTTCTAAAGGAGGTCTTTGAGACTGCCTCAGTGAAGTGACAAGTCCTTAAAAAGCAACATACCACAAATTTGAAGCCAAAGAGTGTTTTTTCATACATTACATCTGTTAAATAAGAGGCAAACTCAATCTGAGCACTGCATCACCAAATCCCAGGGCAGGGCATTCCCTGAGAGAGCTCACTGCATCCGCACTCCTGTTCCTGGATGTGTGCTGACATCTGACAGTGATGCTCATGGCTGCCCTGCCAAAAGTATTCACTGTAATAACGGATAATAATGATGTTCCTCTTTTATCACATGCCAAAAAAGTCTGTTCAGGATTCAACGTGGGAGGGTAAATTCAGCCTCCATCAAAGCCAGTTGGAGTTTTGCCATCAACTTTGATGGGGTCATGATTCCATCCGTCATGTCTTATGGATAATATAATACAGTTTTTTCAGAAAACCAAATGATAGCTCTGATACAGTGGATTGCAAAACCCATTATACATGTCCTTCATTTAGACCAAAATTTAAGTCACTGTCTTCAGTGGCTCAAGATGTAACACTCACTAGTGCCTCCTCTTCTCTGTCACAGATCTGTTGTGCTGCTTGTTCTTGCACAGGCAAACTCAAACATCCAGTTCTGCAATTGTCACATCCAAGCAAAAACTCCTTAAGAGCTACATACTGATAGAGCAAGAATCTTGAATTTAGATACAGAGAAGTAAGTGAAGTCAAATATAGTGTTATCCACATGTAATAGGGAGTTTAAGTGCCTTCAGTGTTCTGCTATTAATCTGTGATCTTAAGCAACCTGTTATTTAAAAAAGAGATTTTCATTGTATCTTACAGTTAAAGCATTTAATTTAATAAAAGACTGGAAATGTGTTTGTTGAAGTTAAAATGAAGAAAACACATTTATAGTGAAAAACGAGTATTTAAAAAACTAAATAATACATACTAAAATCTATAATACAAATAAAGCTGAAAAACATTTGTCATCCCAGAGTAAGAGGATGTATTGAATGGAAAATATAAAGGTTGCTAAATGTTAGCCGGGAATAAATAGATGAACATGCAGTTTTCTAAATGGCATTATAATTAACATTGTCATTTTAATTTAGAACTGAAGTGCAGCATGGAACATACAGCCTCTTATGGGCCCTATGGGAAAACTGAACAGCTAAGAACAAAAGAGCCTAGACAAAGAGTAGGGCAGCAGTCCCGTTAGCTGGGTGCTGGCAGCAGAAGGGCCTGCAGGGGGTGGGTGGCCTGGGAAAAGCAAGGAAATGGGTTTCAAGGGAAAGCAGGGTCCCTTGGGGAGGTGGGATCAAGGGCACAAGGGTTTGGGAACCACTGCATCACATGCAGTGCTGCATTAGCAAGTTACACATCTGAAGTGGTAAAACTTTATCAGTTTGTGCCATGAGCTGTAGGCGGTGCTGCCACAGGTAGTAGAGTGCGTGTGAGAGGTATTGCTGTGGGAGCTAGAGGGTTTTGGCTGCATTAAGATTTCTAACCTCATCTGGGTCACAAAATTAACTCTGAAGAGAGAGCAGAAACTACATTTACATCTCTCCTGAAACTGGTGGCACTTCAGCAAGTGAATTGTGAGTCTCGTGTATTTCACTCGCGTCCTTTCACTCCTAATGACATCTGTCTGTGATCAGTTTGGGGGGCTGAGCTGCAAACCTAACCCCGTTGCTAATTCTGAATTCTGTATCCAAAACCAAGAAAATGCGTGTGCAGTGGGGAGACATGGTGTTTAGAAGGGATTTAGAACTTAGGTATTTTGAAAAGGTAAGTCAGTAATACTTACAACATGCAAACAGATGCACGCAATTACCTGGGAAGTTGCTTGCTTACCGTATTTCATACATTTAAAATAATTCTGCATCATTTTTTTGCTTTTGTATTTGTATCAAGTTGATAATTGAAATTCGGTGCCTTTAGAAGTAGAGGACTGACAATACGTTATTTTCTATTTATTTTTATTTATTAATACCTCTTCTATAGGTATTAATAGCAGCATATCTGCTTACCAGTGCTGTTGGTGTGGAAGTCTGGCAGAAGCCTTTGCTGCTTGGTTATTACATTACAGACGTATTAGTAATCCTGCTTATAGGTAAGTGTCCAAATCTAAGCAAAAATACACTGTTTTTTAATTATTTTGATTAGATATGTCTTATATTTCCGTCTTTCTTTTTTTTTTTCTTTTGTAAGTTTGGATATTACAAAAAAGACAAGAATAGAACTGATTAAAAGGGCTAATACTGGGAAACTAAAAAAGTAAATAATGTTGGAAATTTTTTTTTTCCTGACCGAATTTCTACCTGTTGCACACAAATAATACAGAAAATACTCCTCATATGCCTGTGCAGTTCAGTGCAGTGTGCTGGCTGGCTGGCTCCCAAAGTCTCAGGAACTCCTTTTGTCATTCAGGTGAAATGTCATTCACATTTACATATGTTTTAAGTTCAGTGTTTTGGCCTGCAGCACACTATGTTCCAAAACATTATGAATAGCGGGAATGAAGACATTATTTAAATAATCTTAGAGGCACAACTGTAAATATGAATAAGAATCAGGTTGTTTCTAGGCTCTTCTTTAGAATTCCTTTCTGAACAGAAGTGATGCATTTTTCATACACAGCAATAGCTATTTGTTCATTATTTGTTACTGTCGGTTTAGTCTGAAATAAGCACCCTGTGTTTTTCAGCTGCTGTAGCTAGATGAGAACAAGTGCAGTTACATTTTAATGACTTAAAAACATGGTAGTCTTAGCTAAAAATGTGTGTATGCAAAATGGCTTTGATGTGTTGCTTGGGAGGTGAAGAAATTAGCATACATATTTTAGAGATTTTCATGAGCATACAAGTGATGAGAAGAGGATACTAAAGCACCTGCTTGACACTCTGTACTTCCCAAGAAATGTCTTCTGCTTTTGAGCCAAATGGAGGACTTGGATACAGGTGTTCACCTAGTGTCAACTTGATAGGAGCCATCTGAGCATTTTGGGAGAGGCATTTGAGTCCACTGCATTGATATGTGCTCTCACCACCCTCTCCTATGGCAAGGTCTTCAGCAGGTACCGTCTCCCATCCCAGCAGGGATTCCCAGAATTCCCAGATTGGAAAGGACTCTGCATTCAGGCTGTGCTTTCCAATGAGCAGCGTGTGTAAGGACATGGTTTTGTGCTTTACCCAGAGTATAAAACTGACTGTGTGTGACCAAGATTATACAGTCTTTTTGTAGTCAGGGCTGATTTAGGCACTCTGAGGAAAAGAAATAAAGGAAGGGGAAAAAACAGTGGTTGCCTTTTCAGTAGTCAGCGAATTATTCAGCTTGACAGAGGTGTAGGAGTAGATAGGGAGTGATTTGTGCTCTCAAAGCAGCACCGCAAGTCCAGGAAAGATGGATGCTGGCTCACCCAGAAGTGGCAGGTTAGGCCAACGTTGGTGTAAAGCGGTAACTGGGGCCTGTCCATTGAACATTAACTTGTTCTGTGCTATGTACATTTGGTTCCTGCCACTAAAGCACATGACAACCCATTCAGTGAATACATTGATGGCTTCCCTTGCACTTGGGAAGCCATGGATGAAGGCTTAATTTAAACTGTTCAACACAGTAGGAAGGTTTGTGGTAGGGAAGCGTGTCAGTGTCATCAGATCTGCAGCAGTGAGCATCCTTTTTCATAGTCTACCAAAAACAGCTGGAAAGCAAGGTTTGATGGACTGTTCCATTAGCATTAGAAAGAAGTACTGCTTCTGTCTTCTGTGGTATGCTTGCATGGAGCACAGAATTGAGTATTTCTTCCATTATTATCCTGATCAGAGTAGGTATAAGTAAGAGCCAAAAAATTTCTTTAAAAAACATGGTCTCTCACACACTATCCACAATGCCATTAACATGGCAAAAATTGCAGCTTAATTATAGTTAAAATATGAGTTTATAGTATGCAAGAAATGGTCTTGGTTGACTCTATATTGCAGAATCATCACAGTGCTTAGCAAATTTCTTAAAAACAGGCGCTAAATTTAAATATTGAAAAAGTAAATCCTTCCACTGAGGATCACGCTGATCCAGAAAGCATTGCCATTTCACCACACATTTGAATCTCAGGTCAGCAATAGTGATTAAGGTGGTTATCACTGGATAACCTGTGTGCAGTGACTGTGGATAGATAAAGTTTCTAGAAGGTTGTGATAAACTGCAGCACCCCACCGTGACTGCAGAAAATGTACCCATGTAACCTGCGCCAAGGGCCAAGCAGCCAAGCAGATGGAATTATTTTCTCCGTAAGAGAGACTGCACCAAGTGTGTCTTGCTCAGCCAGAACCATTTGTATCAGAGAGCCCACTCTCTGGCGTGCTCAGTTAAATGCCTTTGTGGCTAGTTAAAAACAAAGCAATGTAGTGGGCCCCTGATGCTTTTTACAAGTTAGTTTCCCAGGATCCTAAGAGGAGCCATTAAACCATAACTGGCTGTCCTTAACCATCTGATGGCATTTAGTAGTCAGTAGTGGTCCTTTTAACAATGAACCTGTAGCTGCTCCATCAATACTTGGCATTTGTTTGGTGCTTTTACTGTCCAGTGCACAACAGGAGTTCAGCTGCTGAGCCGTCACTTCTCCGAGAACAGCTGGGCTTCAGCTAGTACCTTGTGTAGTGGGAAGAAATCCAAACGAGATGCACAAGAGTGTTTTTCAGATGTCTTTCCTGGAGTTTCTGGGGAAAAAAAAAAAAAAAGCCCATACATAACCCAAGGATGAACTCTGCAAAAGCACCTCCTCAGAGGAAGCTGAGGTATCACCAGGTGACACTCGCTCATTGAAAATAATGGAGTTTTTATCAGGTGCCAGAACACACAAAGATATACATAAAAGTGCAGCAATAGTGGTGTTTAGATTAGATGTTTTAGGAAAGCCTCCCAAGAGAGCTTTATGTGTGCTCCTGGGAACTGTCTGGCACACTGTGAACACCTGTAGGAAAGCCAAGTCTTGGGCTGCTAAGCAGCAGCCTCAGAGGACTGCCCTGTAAAACAGAGAAACTTCTGCATAGTATTTCACGGGAATTTTTCAGCTATCCAGCAAACACCCATAATTTTCCCAGGCAGTGAGAGCAGCTCCATCCTTCAGCTCCAAAACACACCCATAGCTTGACACCAAACCAATGAAGAAGGTCCTTCTCCTCTTTCCAGAGCATGTTGTCCTGGCTGCTAGGCAGAAATGGCTTTTCTCGCCTAACGTGAAAGCAACCAGACCTTTCTAAGGTTATGTGCCTGTGTGCTCATCTGGAACTAATTACTTCCGCGCTCATCAAGGCTCCTGTGGATGACACTCCAAAAACTCTCTTGGGATTTAACCACAATTGTCCCATAGCATTATCTGGCTAAGTAGGGTCCCTTCAAAGCACAGCACTAGGGTGAGAGCTGTCATTTATTTTCACCCCTCCAGGGCATCCTGCATGACTAGCATTCCCTGTCACTGTGTTATCAGGTTGAGAGCAATATAAAATATTTACAATAAGCATTTTAAAACAGTCAATCCTGCACATAAAATCTAGTACCACAAATGATGATGTAGACTTCATAAGAAGATTTTCACTGACAGGTAGGCATCTGTAGTTCAGGGAGTAACATTACTAATTGATAATGATTTCTGTCTCACGTTGCTATTAAATGACCTGTGGGTTTATGTTCTAAATGAAGCATTTTCCATGCTTGGGATAGGTTTTGTGGTAAAGGATCACTAATGCACGGAGTGGATATCTTGTACTTTATCAGTGTGTGGCATGTGGGGCAGACCATTCTGTAATCCAGACATGGTGTCACATTTGAGTCCACTCTATCTGGTCAACAATGCCTAGATCTGGGTACTGAAGTCTGTGGCAAAGTTGGGACAAATTTTCAAAGTGCAGGTTTGAACACGAGATGTGGATTGAATACTAACGTCTGTCAGAGATCTGAAACTTTCTTTTAGAGATGGGGCCAAAGCATTCAGAATTCTTTTCCTTTGATGTGCATTGGATTGGGTTCTGTGCTGACCTCTGCAGAGCGTGTTCCTTGAGGTTCACTCTTCTCAGAACTACTTAAGTATATAAAAAGAGAAGTAAATTCATAAATTAATACATAATAGCAGCAAAAAGCTAATGATGAGACCAAGCCATAACATTTGAAACATGCCAAGTATTTGAATTCTGTCAGTGGGAAAGCACAGTTATCTATCTAAAGCAAGGCCTTGTCCTTACACTGTGTCCTACCTCCTGTGTATCAAAGGAGGACACCAAAGTCCTTGCCACGGGTGATCATACAGCAGCCTGCCCTTTTTTCAGTGTCAGAAAATGTTTGGGAGGCCATGGTCAAATTATAATTTTTTTTCTACTCCATACAGATGAGTCATTCTGTAGTGATTTCCTATAGTTTCCCATTGCAAAGTGGCTGATGGTTCTGCCTTAATGATGACTAGTTGAATGGTTAAATGTTAAGTGATATGTTTTCAAAATGTTATTGCTCTGACAGGCTTTGACCAGTCCTGTTTGAAAAGTGTGGTTAACATGAATTGGCTTCTACATGTCTGTCACCAATTCAACATTTATTAAGGCACTGTTGTGACAGATTGTTCAAGACTTTGTTAAAGTAAAGAGTGTGAAATATTCACCTGTCACTTGAGATATATATTTAAAAAGCTGTTGAGTTCATGTTTGGAGTAACTCATCTGAACCAGTCAGAACAATAACCCAGAAAAGCAGAGCACTCGAGGCTGGAGGCAGAGCAGTGTCACAGGATGCTGGCTACAGGTGGGAGTGAGTTTGGTGGTGTTAGCTGTGAGGAGTCATTTCAGGGGCGGTGGGAGCCCTAGGAGAAGGTCAAACAAGGGAGCTTGCCTGGCAGAATCCCTCTGGAAGCCAGCCTGGGCTTTTCAAAGAAAGGCACCATTTCTCTGCTGCTCAGTTCTTGCTGTGCCCGGAAAGAGAATGATGTGTGAACAGTACTACATCAAAGTAGCTACATCCATAAACTAATTCCTCAGTCTGCACTTAATCCCTCAAAATACTAATTGTTATCTTACAGCTCAGTTGAAGAGAGATAAATGCAGTGTGTACTTCCTTAGACACTGAAAATAAG